GACCAGACCTCGGCGCCGCGCTATGATGTAATCGGCCTTCGAATCTGGCCTTCTAAGGACGCGTCCTAGGTTTTCGAACAGAGCCTTTGTTTATTCTCATAAAGATTTCTCCTTATGCAGCCCGATGGATTTAGTGAGTTCACTTTTCAATGGAACTATCCCAGTTATGATCTATTAACAGGACATTCTTCCACTTGTCTAGAAGAAACTTGTTTTCTTTCTGGAAGAAACTCAACTCTGGTAAAAAAGTAACATTTTTGCAGAGAAAACTTTTTTTATATTATAGATATTAAAAATATTAGATGCTGCAAAATACTACCCACCTCCAGCCTCTTTGAAAATGATGGCGAGCTGTAGCTTTGGGTTGCGGGTCGGTGGAGGTCCTGTTAGGGAGCATCACTCAAAAATGATGTACTTCTGCTTTAAATTGGACGTATGTCGATTTCTGTACGTTTTTGGCTTCTTGGACGGGCTGAACTGAAACTGTATTACCCTCCGGGGATTAATTAAGTATAATTGAATTGAAGTGAATATAGTTCTCTGTCTAAAACAGTTAATCCAACCAGTGTTTGGTTTTAAATGGATTTTCTCGGTCTAGCACTAATCATTATAATGACTCCTGACTTCCTGTTTTTGTTCAGGTGCATGAGGCTACATATGAGGACCTGGAAAGAAACAACAAATACGATCTTCTAAGATCCACCAGGCACTTTGGAGGCATGGTTTGGTACCTGGTCAACGCTCGTAGAGCAGACGGACTCATGGTGGACATGCTGAGGAGAGAGCTGTGGGTTTCCGCCTCCTGTCTTTTTAAAATGTTACCTTTAAAAAAAGATGTTGGTCCTGAAGAGGAGCAGCACTAAGTCTCTGTGTCTGTCTGCAGGCTGCAGGACGCCATCAGCCTTGTGTCTCTGTTCCACATGGTCCATCCTCACAGCGAGTCGGCTCAGGAAGCAGCCGCCCAACGAGCTACCGGCACCGACCTCTTGAAGGTGATGAAATATTATTTATACTCTAGTATTTTCAATACAAAGTAATAATGTTCCAATTAATTATTAAAATTAAAAGTAAATAATAAAACATTTATATATCCATCTAATATAATAATAATTATTTCAAATTAATTAAACTTATAAATTGTAAAGTATTTGGAAAATGTTTATATCTGAATAAGTAAAGATTGAATTGGGATTCTGCATTTTTAGGGGATTCTCTGTTCTGTTGCATTGATATCGTTGGTGTCAGGAGCTAATGTGTGTTTTGCACACTAGCTTCAATATCCTGCTTTTATTTATTTTATCATCTTTTTATTCTTATTTTTTTTTCTTTATTATATTGTGTAGTTGGATGGATGTATGTGTGTGTGTGTGTATATATATATATATATATATATATATATATATATATATATATATATATATATATAAACTGTAACTGGAGCGTGTAACAAAAGCAATTTCCCTCTGGGATTATTAAAGTATTTCTGATTCTGCAGTTTGATCCTGATGCATATATGCATGTAGCTTCGCCTCAGAAAAGATGGTTACAGGTTTATAAATGCTTTAAAAACAGAGACTGGTTAGTTTTATCTTCATTAGGAAGTTTTTACAGCAAATCACATTAAAATAGGGAGATTTGGATAATCAAAAGTTTAAGCAGATGAAAACAAGATTGATTTATATTTAATTTTAATAAAATTCTAACCAATGTTGTGGACGGGTTTAGCACCACTAGTTGCTTAAAGTTAATGTTGCATTAAAGCTGTCACTAATTTGGTTTAAAATGTTCCAAAACTGCTGATTTCTGGGTCTTATAACGGTCGGACTGACCTCTGCATCGCTCGCTGTATCTGGTCGTTCACAGAAGAGACTAAAAGAAACACCTGGACGTATTTTTAGTCAGAGAATAAATGGTTGTGTCGTTCTGTATGAAACTAATGCTAACCTGTTTTTGTTGCTGCAGATCTATGCCCAGAAGGAGTCTCAGAGGTCGGGCTACATCGAGCTGGCTCTGCAGGCGTATGAAGAGAAATCTGCTGAAGGCTCATCTGCCTAAAATCCCAGCATCCAAACACCTGAACTTCTGATTGGGAAAGAATTTTACCAACAACCTGAACTGAACTTCAAACCCAAACATCCAATCTGGAGGCAGGATTTTAGAACCTGGTTTCATCTGTAAAGACTTTCATTCCTGTTTGTTTGGGATCTAAATCACTGAACTGAAACAGATGTAACGGCAAAATAAAATCTATATGTGAGTGAAAGGGTTGGCTTTGTTTTAAAAAACATGTGAAAGAAAAATGTTCCCTTCAATATAAGAAAGTTTCCCGAATATTCCAGAGAATAGTTCTCACTTTCTGAACTAAATAATATAATTGTGTCGGATAGTAAAGGCAATACACAAATTTAAATTTAGATGACAAAAACTCTTTGGTTGGATATATTTCATTCATTATTTTGAATTGCATCTATAATCCTAAAATAGGATTCAAAAGAACTTTTAAAGTAGTTATCGATTTGTGAACTGAATTATTTTATTTGATCAGCTATTGAAGCATCATCTCAATAAAACTGGGAGGCGTACAGTAAAATAAAACATCTCTTTTTCAATCTTTGTGTTCTGTTCCATTGATTATGAGACAAGCTACTGATCTTCTAACCACTTGCTTTTCTTTTAAAAGCTTTTTCCAAATGAAGTTTATCCAGCTGATTGGAGCTGAATTCATCTTTTCTTCTTCTGATCATAATCCTAAAATAAAAAACAGCAATGGGAAATACACCTTTACGGAAGAGGATTAGGGCAACTGAAAAAAAAAAAAA